TTATTTGGTACTGGCCAGAAAATAAAATATTTAAATGAGGTTGTTAATTCTGTGGCACATATAGTAATTGCAAAGTGAGTTAGAGAAGATGAATAAGTGTATGTGCCGAAAGGGTTGTGGAGTTAGAGCTTGAATTGAACTGGGCCTCAGAGAGTAAATCAGAAGAGAAGAACCAACATTAATGTACTTTCTGTATAAGCACTATATATACATTGCCTCATCCAATCCCTCACACAACCTGTGACAGAAACTCTGTTCTCCCTGCTTACCAAGAGGAAACTGAGGCTCAAGGAGGTGAAATAATTTCCCCAAGTCCAAACTGCTAAGTGCTGATCTGAATCTCAACCCAGATCTCTCTTCTACTCCATACTTCCTCAGATTGGCAGAAAGGGCCTAGGAGGGCATTCCAGGTGGAGAGGAGCAGCAGGAGCAAAATAAGAGGAGGATCCCTGTGAAAAGTGGTAAGTAAACAGCCAGGCATCTGACCTTCCATCCTCTAAGGAGCAGAGGGTGGGACTTCTAGTCAGCTCCGCCCACTACAGAGGATTGCAACAGTGTGGGATGGGGTGGGGGTTCTGGGGTTCCTGGAAGGTGACTGAAGCCCATAAGATTGGCACTGTGCCCATGTGTGGCTAGAACTAGTCCCGCCCAGTAGTGCTGGGATTCAAGTCATAGCCTGAGGGCTAGTTCCTGGAAGTCTAGCGACCGGCCTTTTCCACCAGCCCTGCTGCATCCTAGCTTTGGTTGTCTCCCGGAGTCACCCTTGGGTTCTGTCCCAAGCACCTCTGTCTCAGAATCTGGCCTCCAGATAGGGCATTCTCAGTTCCTGAAGCCCCTGAGGCACTCTGCCCTCCAGTTTCTAAGCTTTCATCTCCTAATAGTAACACTCACTTTCATATTGATCTCAGTTTACTTTCTCAATAATTCCACTAAGTAGATATTATTACCATTATTTCCATATTTTCAGGTGAGAAAATAAAGCTCAGAAAGTTTGGGTGGCCCAAGGCCACATAGCCAATAAGTGCCAGAACCAAGCCAAGATGTTAGGATTCAAGATCTGGTCCTAATTCTACTATATACCATGAAACCTTCTTCTCTTTCTAGACTTGGAATTCAGCCCCAGGGGCTATTTCTTCTGTTCTATTCTCAACTCATCTCTCAGACTTCTTCCATTTTGGTGTCAGTGCTTGGCTCTACTAGCAGGACATAACTCTTAGATGCCAGGGTCTGAGAACCTCAATGCCATCCAACTCCCTTGAAAGCCCCATGCTCTTTTGGTTTGAGAGGGGCTCAGTCTCCCTCAACTCCTCAGTCAATCCTCTAAGAATTCTTATTTGAGGAAAGAAAACTTTCCTCAGATAGGACTGTTTTTTAAATCCTACATTTATCCAAACTGGAACACAAGGAAAAATGAGTAGATGGCTCGGGAGATCTGGCTCCACCATTGGGCATCAGTTTATACCTCCACCACTCCTTACTTTAGTAAGAGAGGCCTCACTATTCCCTGGTCTCAGGATCCTTCCATCACCTCCCCCAACCATCAGGGTAACTGCCTGGCTCTGCTGCCTAGGATAACGCCCAGTCCTCGCCTTGCCCCCTGTGGCTGCCTCCCCTTTCCGTCTGTTGAGAGAGGAAGCCAGGGGGTGGCGGGTGCAACCCTGCAGGGCACTGATAAAGGGCCAGCCCTGCCCCCATCCTTTGGGGCCACTGCGGTCAGACCAGTAGGCAAGCAGGCACAGCAACCAGCTCCCTCTGGGACCCATGGCCCTCCCCTGGTTCCACCTCTACCCACCCCGCCCTTCTTCTCAGGAAGCTGGTTGCATAACCCAGTGGGGTGTTTGGCAACATTGCTTGTGGCTTGACCTGATGCTGGTGGTGGTGTGCACACACGTTGTGGGGGTGAGGGTGGGAGTGGTTTGACCTAGGGTGACAAGTCAACCTTTTAGGGGGTGGGTAAGCAGCATAGGTAGAGAATGATAAAATAGTAAAGATAGGTGGCCATGTTTTTCTCTGTATTCTGTCTCTGCTACCTTTGTTGAAGCGGAAGAATCTTGGGATTGTTAGATAGGAAAATCTTAGGCATCCTTGCTTTGCCAAGCCACAGGCACTATCCAACCCATTCAGGCTGGCACTCAGGCACCTAATGCCCTGTACATCATACATCAAGCAAAGATGACTTAAAGTAGAAGCGTGTTGACTCTGGACTTCAGGGATCTGAAAGGAGGGAGCTAAAGGAAAACATCACTTCCCTTGAGGGCTTTATTTTTTTATTTTATTTATTTATTTTTTTTAAAGATCACCGGTAAGGGGATCTTAACCCTTGACTTGGTGTTGTCAGCACCACGCTCAGCCAGTGAGCCAACCGGCCATCCCTATATAGGATCCGAACCCGTGGCCTTGGTATTATCAGCACCACACTCTCCCGAGTGAGTCACAGGCCGGCCCCCTTGAGGGCTTTAAAGGATGTTCTGGAGGCAGAACACAGTTTGGGAACCGCAGTGAAGGCTTTTTCCTATAGGAAGGAAATGAGAGTGAAGTGGGAGACACCTTTGCCTAGCAGCCCCCTTGAGGGCTTTAAAGGATGTTCTGGAGGCAGAACACAGTTTGGGAACAACAGTGAAGGCTTTTTCCTATAGGAAGGAAATGAGAGTGAAGTGGGAGACACCTTTGCCTAGCTAGGTGCCAAGTAAAGGCTATGTGTTTACTTAGCTCACCCTGTGTGACCATGTCTGTCCTCCCAAATAAGTAGTAAACAACTTCAAACACTTCTACGAATCCCTATTACTGATAGGATAAAATACACTCTTCCTAGCTTTACTTTCAAGCCACTTTACAATCTAGCCCTAGCCAAATTTTCGAGGCTTATCTTCTGCTACTTCCCACCCCATACCTCACCATAGTAAACCCCAACTATTACTCTGTTTTTTATGCCTCTGTGCCTTCACACTTTTGTGGAATGCTCTTTCTGCCTTCTCTGCCTGGGGAATTCTGAGTCATTCTCTACAGCCCAGCTCAGTTGTTACCTAATCTGTGAAGCCTTCCCTGAATTTCACCAGGCAGAATTTATTTCCTCTTCTTCTCCATAGCATTTTATGTAGACCTCTATTAACGTAATTCCCTATCTAGATTGTGAGGACATGGACTATGTCTTATTCATCTGTGTTCCTGGAGTGTAAACCATAGTAGACACTCAATAAATGTTTGTTGAATGAATGAATGAACAATGAGGCTTGTGTTATCCATAGTTCTATCTGCAACACCATAAAGTGTCCTAAACTGGTAGTTCTCATTCAATAAATGTTTGTTGACTATCTGTAACCTGAATCATTATATAATCAGCCACAGCCTGACTATCTCACCCTTCATCCCCTCTGAGCGGCCCAAATAACTATGCAAGTGAAAGAATTATATCCAAATGCCCATGTATGTGATCCAGATTCATGCCAGGTCATCAAGAGATTCTCAACCCACATGTAACATGCAATGAAGTCATTGGATTGCCTACTATCTTACATAAATCATACATGTACAATCATGATACTTCTGGGATAGGGATGGAATTCAAAGCATTTAACCATGAGTTTGGCATGGGTATTGATCAATCCCAGCACATGCAGGCTGCACAGAAGTCTCCTGTGCTATCGGCATTGCCTCTTTAGTTGCTTGGTTGTATTGCTGGTTGTGGGGTCTTAGGGGAGAACTGGAGTGGCCCCAAGGTAGTGGTGTGGTGGCAGGGGCCACTTGGAGGACTCACAGCAGCTATTTTTCTTATCAACTCAAACAGAACATTTTTCATCATTTTAACAGTGAACACAATCCTATCAGAGCATGTTAGCCCTGCCTTGGAGTAGCACCTGTCTGCTTCTCCAGTCTTTAAATGTTTCCAATTTAACTTGAACACCACAGAGGGAAAAAATAGAGAAAAGGTGTAAGCTGCAGCTGTAAGGATTGAAGCTAGACATACGAAAAACTTTCCTTAGAGCTGAAAGCCACTAAAAGCCACTACAAGCTAGAAGGAAGTGATCTGTTTGGCTGGGACTTGGGTTGTGTGTCTTGGAGGGAAAGGGATGAATGAGTGACTTCTGGGGGTAGTATTGGCCTGACACTGAGCTACTGTGGGTGCTGGCAGATGGACCTGATATGCTATACCACACATGTCCTGGCCTGTTTAGGGTATGTAGCTGCTGTGTGTGGCTGGGGTACCTTGCCTGGAAAAAGGACGACAGTGGGTACTCAAGGTCCCCTCTAAAGGCGATGAATGATCTCACTGCTGGGCAGCCCCCCACCCAACTCCCTTCACACACTGACAAAAAACCTGGCCAAGAAAGGGGCCTTTGTCCTAGGACATCTGAGGCTTGGTGGGGGGGCAGGGAGAAGGCTACAGGTGAAAAGACACATCAAAGCAGCTGGCTTCCTTTCCTCCCCCAAATAGCTTCCCTACCCTGTTCCCAGAGCCCAGGTTTTTCTTACATGAAGGATGTGCCCTAAATGCCCACCTACCTAAACAGCCAGGAAGCTAGACACCTGGTCCTTACCTCCACCTTACTATGACTCAGTTTCCCTGTCCTTAAGAGAGCCACGGGAGCAGAGGAAGGAGGCTACAACTCATATAACATTTAGAGGTCACTTTTGAGTGTACCATCAGGTTGGAATTCATCAAATGCATGGGAGAAATGCAGACCTGGCTGGACTCCTGGGCTGAAAAGGAGGGCTGGAAGAGGCTTGGAGCCATGTGTGCCCCCGCTGGCTGGGAGCAAGGTGGGGGTGGGGTGTGGGCAGAAACCACATCAGGCTCAAGTTTCCTCTCTTGGCCAGAAGGGGCAGGAGGAGAGGAGGGCCATGGGGAAAGGGGAGGGTTGGAGGAAGGACTGAGAACTCAGGCTGAAGTCTTCAGAGAGAAGGCTGGTACGCCTGCTTCGGGGCTCCCTGTGCTCAGCTCAGTCTGAGCCTCCACACTCAGTGCTTTCAGCAATGGCCTGGGGGCGGGGTGCAGCTCTTGCAGGTTCTTGGAGGTAGCAGGTATCCTGGCCCAGGAGGTGTCAGCTCAGGCCCAGCCTCTTCAGAGACAACACCCGGAGCCTCATCTCTCTCCTCACACTGCTCGGACTCTGACACAGGTGCCTGAAAGGTGGAGTGGGTGGTGATGGTGGGGATCCTAGGGGCAGGCTGAGGAAGTAGAGAAGGTGGAGGGAGAATATAACCAAAGTTCGGTATGTTCTTAGGAGACCTTAGACCTTCCCAGATTGTCCCTGGTTTAGGAATTCGACATTTTTGAGAACTCCTCTGGGAGAAGACTTAGATGGCTTCCTGGGTGCTCTGGGACCCCTGGATGAGGACCAGACAGTGGTCTCCTGATGTACCCCCATAGGACTGGGGAGTGACCAGGAGGAACGCTTCAACTGGCGGGCTCCCCTGGGGGAAGTAATAGTCTCTCAGGTATATGGTACTACCCTTTCCCCTACGGCATTTCATTCTGCTGCCCTGTACAGACAGTTGGGAAAGTTTGGAAGCTGAGGAATTGGAGGTAGTGGATACCTGAGCCTCTGAGAAGTGTTGTTACAGCAAGAGGGGCTGGTTGGGTGGGGGGTTCTTGGGTTTTGCTTCCTGTTGCCCCTTCTCTATTCTGGGCCCAGGAGCAGTAGAAATCATCTGGAACTGTAAGGGAGAGGAAGATGTCGCAACCCCAGTGTAGTTCCTTCCAACTGGAAGTTGACTGCTTGGGAGATAGGGCGTTGGGGAGCTGGGGAAGAAAAGGGAGGGGATATCAGATCTGCTGGGGCTGGGATACTCTAGTCATTGGTCCCAAAGGACTGGAGTTTGGGGTCTAGGAATGGAGTGACAGATAGGATAGTAGAAACTTGTCCCCTTTTCCCTTCCTACACGTCTTAGTCATGTATGCCCTCAGGGGACTGAGCCCACTCTAATCAAATCTCTCTTCTCCCTCTCCCTTTTCCTTCATTATGTTTGTTTCTCTATCTCATCTGTGACTCTCCCTCTTTGAGGGTTCTCCCTAATCTTTCTAAATAGGTTACTCACCTGCCAACCCATACCCCAAGTTTCACTGATCCCTCCCCATCCTTTCACTCCATGTATTGATACCTGGAGAGATGGGGTAGTCTAATAAGCCTCAGAACAGGGGTCCTGAGGCAATCCCCCTCTCTACCATTCCCCCTTGTCAAGGAAGAGCCTGGAGCAATAGTGGAGGCCAAATGTCTTCCTCTCCCCAGCATCCTTCTCCAAATGATTCTTAACCTGCCTCTCTAAGCATAAAGGTCCATATCATTCTGTGAGTACTTAGGGGTTGTGATAACATCTTTCTGGGTGGGATCATCTGGATGAGAATAAGGAGGATGGATTTTAGTCCCCAGAGATGGTTCCAGTTCTACCTGATCCACAATGTTAAGGAATAAGAGAAGAAACAGCCAACTCAGTGAGAGTAAGATGGTTGTGTGAACTCAAAATGCAGGCTAAACTATAAAGTGGGAACTGCTTGTTGTAAAAGAAAAGGGACACAGGGAAGCCCACTCCATTTCTCCAGTATCTCCCATTTCTGCACCTTGTGTGGTGTTCTATTTGATTCAATTCTGATTACACCCTCCTCCCTGATCTATCCCAGTGGCTTCTAGCTACCCCATCCTCTGAAAGGTAAGATCTTAAGATCCAGAAAAGCCTATGCCTCATTTATAGGCCATTTTTATTCCTAAGTGTCTAGGGGAAAACATCCCACTCCCCTTGTAGCCTGGTGCAAACTTGCTACTGCACCAGAGAGCTGGTTAAAGCTGAGCCAGAGGTTCTCCTCAACTCCCTCCCCCTTAACCTCCTGCTTTCACCTGCTCCCCTTCTATGTTCTCTTTTTCCTGCCCAGGGAGGGTGGAGACTGAGCTCCAGGTCTTCATGAGAGGGAGATGATATCTAGGCTCAGAGACTAGGGCTGCCTGGAGTCCAGCATTGCCTTGGTCAAGGGTTTGAAGTTAGAAGAAGCCTGGAGATCATTTGCTATTCTCCTTTCTGGCTTTGTGTTTTTTCCTGTAAATCCATACAGTCAGACTAGTTTAGTGTTTCTCAAAGTGAGGCTGGCCTGTTGTGTCAGAATCATTGGGGCACTTGTTAAAACGCTGATTCCTGGATACCCGCACCTATGAATTAAATCAGTAGGTCTGGGGTGGCTTTCAAGAATCTGTGTTTTATATATACTCCAGGTACACATGGTGCACAATAAAGTTTGTGACTCTCTAGTAGATGCAATCTACTGCCTCTCACAGCAATGAGGTTCTCGAATCCTGGCTCCATTTAAAGGAAGAACCTGAATGTGAAGCAATTTGCCTGAGGTCATGCATCTTGATGGCCAGAGAACGTGGTCTTCTGTCTCCTAGGGCAGGATCTTTGTACTGAATCTGAAAGTCAGATCCAGGAAGATAGAAGGAGAGACAAAGGGGGGTGGGGCGAGTGAAGAACTGTGAGGCAAGAGTCATTGTCCCTGCCCCCCAAACCTTTTCCATTCACTTTGCCTTTAGGCAATTTCCGCCAGAACCTGGGTGGGGGAAGGTTGGGTTCCGGTGTCGAAATGGCATCCTGGACAGACATAAACACCCCACCCACTCTGCCACTGGCCAAGAGCTTGTACCTACACCAAATCCCAGCTCTGGGGATGGCAATATAACAAGGTGATTTAGGCAGGGGCTAGGGAAGATCCTCTTTCAAAAGGATTTGTAGTTCCCACTAATTTTGTTGTAAGTCAAAGAGTGGATTCCATATTAAATAGCTGTGATGGGCTGTTCTTGTGGTAGGTGGTCTAAGGTCATGCAATTTGACATATCTTCTGTCCTTCTATAAGTTTCCTTCACCCTTAGTCTGCTTTCCTTTACTTTTATGGCAGGGGTGTTTGTGTATGTGTGTGCAGTGATCCTAAGAGATCTGGACGCCCCTGCCAAATCTACTTGGAATCTCTTGCTGAAGGTATAGAAAACATGCTGGGAGAGATGGGTGTCAGGGAATAGGGAGGTAGGATGAGGAGAGGGACTGACAGAAGAGAAGATAAAGGCAGAGGTGAGCGTTTGCTGAGAACTCTAAGCTGTCCAAGCAGAAAGGGACCTCTGAGTTTAACTTGTCTACAAATGATTTTGCAAATGAGGAAACAGAGCCCCAGAGATGTGAGATGGCTTGCCCAACATCACACTGATGCTTTGTGGCAGAGCTCAGCTAGAGACCAGATCAAAAGAAAAGGGGCTGGAGGGGGAGTATGTATTTAAGGATCTAAAGAGATATTGACCAGAAGAAGAGAAAAGAGAATCCACAGGAAGAACTGACTGCTGTAGACTGGCAATAGAGGCTTGGAGTATGGAGACTCAACTGCGGCAGGGGAGGTGCCTGTAAGGCATTATAGGCAAATAGAGTCAAGTTCCAGACCTCATCCCTATTTATCGGCTTGGGTCTCAGTTTCTGAATGGATCTTATGGGATCTTTGTGAATATCAATCTTGTAAACTAATGCTTTAAAACACCAGCACAGTTCTTCTCCTTTTTTAAAACAATTTTACATTTATTTTATTTCTGGTGGCTGGCCAGTATGGGAATCCAAACCTTTTTTTTTTTTTTTTTTTAAAGATGACCGGTAAGGGGATATTAACCCTTGACTTGGTGTTTTCAGCATCATGCTCACCCAGTGAGCCAACCGGCCATCCCTATATGGGATCCGAACCCGCGGCCTTGGTGTTAATAGCACCGCACTCTCCCGAGTGAGCCACAGGCCAGCCCCGGGATCCAAACCTTTAACCTCAGTGTTATAACACCATGCTCTAACCAACTGAGCTAACCAACCAGCCCAGCACAGTCCTTGACAAGTGCTTAATAAGTCTTTGTTATGGTCGTTACATTACCTCGGAAGAAGAAAGACCCCTGGTTTAGTGGGTTTGGGTATGGCCAACATGCCCTGTAGGGACCCAGGTCAGAGGTCCAGTGTCTCCAGAGCCCATTCCTCTTCTGCCTCTGCTGTCTGCAGCTGATAAACCTCTTATCTGGCCCAGGCAGGGGAGCCCAGGACAGGAGAGGGCAGGGCTGCTATCAGCTACCAGGCCTGGGCCTATCTCAGAGAAGGGGAGGAGCTGTCTGTTTGGCTCTTCCTACAACATACTCCTTGGGCATCCCCAAGCATTCACTCTCATCTTGGGAAGAAAAGGCTGTGACCCTAAAACTGAGGACTAGAAAAAGAAAGCAGGGGTTACCCCCAATGTTGCCCCAGAAAATGGAAAACAAAACAAAATAAAAAAAAAACAGAAGATCTGACTCTGCCCCTGGCTATGAATACAGTTTTGGAGAAAAGAAGTGAGGGAAAGAGAAGGCATCTTTTCCAAAAAAAGATAAAGACCTACTTTGCTCCCAAAGGAACTGACTACGCCCATAGGAGGTGAGGTAGAGATCACACCACAGAAAAAGACTGTCCAGCCTCAGGGGTTGGTTGATGAGTCCAGCATGAGGAGGGAAATGAAGTTGGAGGGTGAAGTTGGAGGGAGCCGTTCCAGAGAGGGAGGACAAACTTGCTGATACTAGCAGGAGTGGCTCTAACCTCCCTCTTCCTTCAACACAGGTTACTGGGGCCATTTGGGCTTTGGAGGAACCTGGACCAGACCCTGGCCCAGTAGGATGCCCCCTTGTCCTCCCCAGCACAGCAGGAACAGGGTGACACAGCTGTCTACTCCGGAGCTGGGCGAAATGGAACTGACCTGGCAAGAGATCATGTCCATCACGGAGCTGCAGGTGAGCAGGGAAGGGGAGGGCAGGGAGGAAGGATGGAGAAGCAGGGAGTTAGCTTGGACTGGGCAGGGGGCGGGATCCAGCAGGGCCTAGGGATGGAAATATTCCAGGCACTGGAAAAGGAAGGGCTGGGTATGTGGGAAATCTGGATGGAAGACATTGAGGACCACTGAGGAGAAAGGGGTGTGGACGAGCAGGGTATAGGAGTGGTAGGGAGGGAAGGATCTAATTGGGAGTGTAGGCTCTCTCAGCAGCCACTCTGCCCACATCTCTCTACCCCACCTCCTGCTCTGCCCTCACTTTATCACCTTTTCTTCTGACCTCCCTTTCCTCCAATCCTGCCCATCTTCTTCCCTCATCTCCTCCCCTGCCCTTAGCAACCAGGCCCCTTTCCCCCAGGTAGCAGAGCAGTAGTTCAGGGGCCTCGGGAAGGGGAGTCAGACCGTGCCGGGGTCCTCTCCTCCTGCTAGTTGGACAAAGGGGTGTCTGTTGGTTGAACAATGATGCCTTTGTCCCCATCTGGGCTGGAGCAGGGTGGCTCCCCGATGTGGGTTGAGGGCCTTATTTCCAGCATGTTCTCTCCTCCTCACTGCACCTGGGCAGGGACAGAGGGGCTGAAGAGTAGAGGGTAGAGCTTGTGCTAGCTCCAGTGCTTCTTAGCCCCCAGACCCAGCACTGCACCTGTCCCCTTTTCCTCCCAGGTCACCAGGTCTTGGCGCCCTTAGGATCTGCCCTAGGCCCTCCTCCCACACAGCAGCTCCCTCTGCTGGGCACCTGGGGCATGGCCAGGATCCGAACTTGACCCTTTGACCCTAGATCCACAGCAGAAAAGAGTTCTGAGGGGTCATCTTAGATAACAATATCTTGTCTTCCTGAAGGAAATAAAGGAACATGATAGTCAACTCTGTACCACATAAATATGTATAATCAAAAATAAATCAATAACTTTTTTAGAAAAATATAAAAATAGAGACAACAGCAACAACAACAAAAGAAAGGAACATGAGCCATTTCAACCCAGTGAGAACCTGTCCTGAGCAGATTCCACAATTGTTCCACTGTTAGTTAGTCTTTTCTGATGTCTGACCTCAGTGACTTCTATTCTTGCTTAAGTTGCTTTCTTTTTTTTTTTTTTTTTCCTTTTTGTCTTTTTTCGTGACCGGCAACGGATCGCAACCCTCAGTGTTGCACCCGCCTCGCTCAGCCAGTGAGCGGCTGGTCTGTATGTGGGATCCGAACCCTCGGCGGGAGCACCACCGCGCTCCCAAGCGGCGCACTGTAGCAGTGCGCCACCAGGCCGGCCCTTAAGTTGCTTTCTTCTTGGAACAGCTATAACACAACTTCCCAAGAAACTTCCAGTGATTTTTGGTACCTTTCTGTGCCCTTCTTACTGTCTCAATGGGTCTTTCAGAATGACTGAGTTTGGTCCTGAGATAGTGCTGGTTTCTCTTCTCAGCCTGTCTCCAAACCTCTTTGTGTCTTTCCTTGCAGGGTCTAAATGCTCCAAGTGAGCCATCGTTTGAGCCCCAAGTCCCAGCCCTGTACCCTGGACCCCCACCACCCCAAACTTACTGCCCTTGTTCAGTCCACCCAGAGGCTGGCTTCCCTCTTCCTCCATCACCTTATGAGCTCTCAGCATCCACATCTCACATCCCAGATCCCCCATACTCTTACAGCAACATGGCCATACCAGTCACCAAGCCACTGACCCTCTCAGGCCTGCTCAATGAGCCCCTCCCAGACTCCTTGGCCCTCCTGGACATTGGGCTGCCAGCGGGGCCACCCAAGCCTCAGGAAGACCCAGAATCTGACTCGGGATTATCCCTCAACTATAGTGACGCTGAATCTCTTGAATTAGAGGGGACAGAGGCTGGTCGGCGGCGCAGCGAATATGTAGAGATGTACCCAGTGGAATACCCCTACTCACTTATGCCCAACTCCTTGGCCCACTCCAACTATGCCTTGCCACCTGCTGAAACCCCATTGGCCTTAGAACCCTCCTCAGGCCCTGTGCGGGCTAAGCCCACCACACGGGGCGAGGTGGGGAGTCGGGATGAGCGTCGGGCCCTGGCCATGAAGATCCCTTTCCCTACGGACAAGATTGTCAACCTGCCGGTAGATGACTTTAATGAGCTGTTGGCACGGTACCCGCTGACGGAGAGCCAGCTGGCACTGGTACGGGATATTCGACGGAGGGGCAAGAACAAGGTGGCTGCCCAGAACTGTCGCAAGAGAAAGCTGGAGACCATTGTACAGCTTGAGCGGGAGCTGGAGCGGCTGGGCAGTGAACGGGAGCGGCTTCTCAGGGCCCGTGGGGAGGCAGATAGGACCCTGGAGATCATGCGCCAACAGCTGACAGAGCTGTATCGTGACATTTTCCAGCACCTTCGAGATGAATCGGGCAACAGCTACTCGCCTGAAGAGTACGTGCTGCAACAGGCTGCCAATGGGGCTATTTTCCTGGTGCCCCGGGGAACCAAGATGGAGGCCATAGACTGAGCTGGCTCAGAAGGGTGGGACTGGTGATGGGGATTTCCTTCATTCCCTTCTGATTAAGGTACTCCCCAACCCTGAGAACCAGAAAGAGCTGAGTTCTCTAGACCAGAAGAGGACAAAAATGAGAACACCTGTGTTTGGAAGGTCCAAGGTGTGTCCAGTGAGGTTTACCTTGAGGCCAGTATGTTAGGAGAGGGCTGGAATCAATTCTTCTGTGACTCAGCTTCCCAAGTCTCCAACCTCCACCTCTTGTCTAAGCTTTGGTCTATAAAGTGCTCTGCAGAAATAGCTTTCCATCGTGTCTTCCTTCTTGGGAGAGGGTGATGAAGCTGAGCACTCCTGAGATTACTGATTGTTGGGGGTGGGGAGGGAATCCTGCCAAGCTCATTTCTTTCCCCTCAGAGTTCTGTATGAGAGAGGCACACACACCATGTATGCTTGAGCAGTATGGAGGTCTACCATATTCATCTCCCATTTCAGAGTCAGAGGCTATGGTTGATCTGAGGAACTACACACTCTCTAGTGATCTCCTATTTATAGAGCTGAGATAGCTGCCAGAGCTGGCTAGACCCTCTCTGCAAGGTCCCTGAGGTTTAGGTCTCTGCTCTCTCAATCCTGGTGGCACACAAAGCCTAGAAGGCCTACAGCCTTTTTCCTATTCTTCCCCTCCTGCTTACTTCTCAGCCTGGGTCCTAATGTACTAGAACTCTCTCCGGATACTGAGTGACCTGTTCTTGATGGGAATTAGTTTGATTAGACACCAAAATTTCAGAGGATTTCACACCCCAACCCTGGTAAAACCTGCTGCACAGTGGAGTAAAACATGTATTCATGTGAAACTTTCTCTCTAGTTATGTGATACAAACACTATCCAATTCTTGTTCTGTGGCCCTCCTTTTCTAGATTCTTGAAGATCTTCCTTTTATTGGTCTATTTTTTCCCCCTTGGAACAGAATACAATTGACTGAATTTCAGCTTCCTTAACCACATCAAAGTCCAATCAAACTTACCTGACACCACATACTCAATCTCCATTCTTAGAGTTGGGTGGTTCCCAGTCTTCCCAGTCACTGAATTACACATCTTACCTCTTCAGAATATTTTACCTCTACCCTTCTATTCAATTATTACTAGCTCCATTACAACGTGGAAACTTTACTTCCAAGTTCTGATTCAGAAGCCACAGATGTTGAAACACAGAAGTGATCAAGAGAAATGTGGAATCTTCATGCTTACAGATTCTAAAAAAATGTGGTCTCTAGGTTTAGGGAATGAAAGCAACTTGAAGATTCCTATTGCTAATAGACTTGAGGACAGTCTAGACAGTTTGTCAACTTTATGTTCCCTCAAAAACTGAAAATATCCCATTTCAAGGTGTAAAGGGCAGGACCTTGGGCTAGCTGTTCAGAAATTTTTTATTAATTCATCTAAGGGACATCAGACACTGAGAATTTTTTTTTTTTTTTTTTTTGGTGGCTGGCTGGTAAGAATGCTTTTCATTCTGTCCGATCTCACCAGATAGTGACTCAGAAGCAAATTTAAACATTCAACAAATTTTTTTTTTCTTGGCAGCTGGCCAGTACAGGGATTGAACCCTGGACCTTGGTGTTAGCAGCGCCACACTAACCAACTGAGCTAACTGGCCAGCCCTTACTCAACAAATGTTTACCTAGAGCCGGCCCGTGGCTCACTTGGGAGAGTGTGGTGCTGATAACACCAAGGCCACGGGTTTGGGTCCCTATATAGGGCTGGCCAGTTAGCTCACTTGGGAGAGTGTGATGCTGACAACACCAAGTCAAGGGTTAAGATCACCTTACCAGTCATCTTTAAAAAAACAAACAAAAACCCCCAAATATTTACCTAGTAAGTTCTAGGCATCAAAAATACAGTGAACAGGAGACAATGCCCTGCTGTCGTGATCACATTGTATTGGGAAAGACCCTCCTATTCACAGTTGTTTTGTGTGTGCTGACCTCAAGCAAAAGGTGGACTATGGTTTTGGAAATAGTGATCTGGGTTATGTGATCCAGTGGTGGCAAGAACTAGGCCAGGATGTCTTCTTTAAGTCTATTTCCTCATCTAGAAATACAGAATTTACTTTTCACAACCTTGTGTAATTAAAGCATGTAGCAAACTACATAGAATGTAACAGGAGGAATATGCTTTCAGCCAACTGTCATAGCCTAAATGAGTTGTCCTATCCCTCCAAAGAGCCATGATTGCCCTGAAATGAGAAACCTGTTCTAGAAAATCTAAGTCACTAATAAACTGAGACCCCTGACATTACTCCCTTCAAACATTGCAAGGCTTGTTAAAGATCTCAGTACCGTTTTTGTGGTATTTCAGATCATGCGTGTTGAGGTAAAATTTCCCCTAGAATTCACTTTACCCTTACTTTTGCTAGGTTCAAAATTGAGGCCAGATGAACTTTTTTTTGGTGGCTGGCTGGTAAGGGAATCCAAACCCTTGACTTTGGTTTACAAGGCTGTGCTTTAACCAACTGAGCCAACTGGTCACGGTCACCTCTCGTAGTACAGAAAAATTTAAGCCTTCACTAGAGGGTACTGTCATTACTTCTAAATTGCCCTTAAATCTTTAGGTTCATTACCTTTGAGAAGCTAAAACTTCCTATATTAGTCTGTTTTGTTGCTCAGAGCACCTGAAACTGGGCAACTTATGAAGAAACGGAATTTCTTAGTTTGGGAGACTGGTAACTCCTGAGATTGAGGGTCACGTCTGGTAAGGGCCTTCTTGGTGGGAACCCTGTGAGAAATCCCAAGGAATAACAGAATCAATTGGCACAGGTTGTACTACCACGCTGCTTCTCCTCATAAAGCCACTCTCGGGTGGCTGGCCAGGAGCATGGGTCTTACCATTCATAAAGATGTAACACCCCTCACAATCCAATCACTTCACAAAGGTCCCAGTTTTAAAGCTTCCACATGAGCTTTGCACAGCACTTCCTTTCCATATTCAGTTCATTTTCTTTTGTTTTTGTGTGTGTGTGTGTGTGTGTGTGTGTGTGTGGTCAGCCCATGACCATGGTATTATAAAGCTATGCTCCTTAGTTCATTTTCTTACTCCTGGCTTGAGATTTTTACAGGAATGTGTAGATGAAGTTATTTACCATTAATGTCATGAGACAAAACAAGCAGAACTAAGTTAAATGCAGTTTATTTAAAAACCCATTCACAAAATTGAATGATTATAACTGCAGAGCAGCTAACAACAACTGCATGGCAGTGAGAATTAAGTACAGTGGCTCAGATAAACGCTGTCCTCACAAAGATGTTCCTGCAAAAGGAAAAAGAGGTTATGAAATATTTATGTAAGCAGAAATGAAGGATTCTACAATTACATCCTCTCACTATGGGAACCTGGTTGCTTTAAATAACTTTTTGCTGACTACAAATAATTGGACCAGATTATGATCTCATTTTATTGGGCTGGTTTAAGGTGCTTCTCCCTTTCTGGGCCGGCCTGTGGCTCACTCGGGAGTGTGGTGCTGATAACACCAAGGCCCCGGGTTCGGATCCCATATAGGGATGGCCGGTTCGCTCACTGGCTGAGCATGGTGCTGACAACACCAAGTCAAGGGTTAAGATCCCCTTACTGGTCATCTTTAAAAAAAAAAAAAAAAAAAAATTTACATTTAACAGATTCTCAAGAGGAGCTGTCCGTTTTCACTTTAGCGATAAAAACCACATCTTCACTTGTAAAATTAAGAAACCAGGAATATCAAACCAGAAAAGGTGACTTCCTCTCATTTTTGTGTTTTCACCACTGTGGCAAATATGGACCACTCTTCAGCACAACTACAGACATACGATCTTTTCACGTTCTTTAGATGCCCTTGCTGATCATCAGTGAGGAATCAAATCTACCTTATAAAATGGCAAAACTTTAAAGTTTCACTCCTTCATTCATACAACTTCACTTTTAATAAATTACTCTAAAACGGTTTCTCAACCTCGGTACTACTAACATTTTGGATTGGATAACTGTCGCGTTGTAGGACATTCAGCAGCTCTCTGCCCTATACCCACTAGAAGCCAGTAGCACCCCACCTCCCCCAATTGTGACAACCAAACAATCTCCAGACATTGCCAATATCCCCTGGGGGGCTCCCAGTTGAGAACTACTGCTCTAAAAGAATGGGTTTAAGAAAGATAAAATAGTTCATCTTTCTAAAAAAAAAGCAAAGATTCCAAGGGTATTTGCTTTTCTTTGGCTTTGTCATAACATCCCAATATTTTAACCTTCATTACTAATAAATGAACCATTAGAATATATTGTATAACTGGTATATAAATACAAAGCATATTTAATTTGGAAGGTACAATTACACATATAAGAAATAATATCCAGGGTTTGATCCCTGTTTTGGTCAGCTGTCAAAAACAAAACACATTTTTTTTTCCGAATTGTCTTGTTTAAGTCTATAAAAGGGAATCACAGAAAATGATCCTGTAGCAACTATAGAAGTTGTAATGTAAACAAACACCAGAGGGCCAGCCTGTGGCTCACTTGGGAGAGTGCGGTGCTGATAACACCAAGGCCACTGGTTTGGATCCCTATATAGGGATGGCCGGTTAGCTCACTTGGAAGAGCGTGGTGCTGACACCACCAAGTCAAGGGTTAAGATCCCCTTACCGGTCATCTTTTAAAAAACAAACAAACAAAAAACCACAACAGTATGTCCATAAAGAAATGCATTCTGTCACACTGTTTCCATGATGCATATGATAATGGCAAGGGGAATTACTGTTACAACCATTAAGTAACAAAGCAACATTTTCAGAATAGAGAATCTCACCATATAAAGTACAGTGATAACATAGCAGTATTATCAACATAACCTCTGACCCACTAATTTTATTTCTTGGTCATTTATCTTGTAAAGATATGCAATCACTTAGAAAGGACATAAGTCGAAGTTATCACAGGTAGTAATGTGCAGTAATTGAGCGTGTACACTGTGGAGCACAAATCTTGGTCTGAGTACCATTCTCCACTAAAGAAATCAGGGTTCCTTGGAGAAATAGCCAATTCTGGGGCTAAGAAAGTACAAGATGAACATGGAATATTTAATTACACAATAAGGACATATCAAAATATAATAGGGACATGTCAAAAGGACACAGGAGGCAGCTTGAAGGGGAATTTTTCAGAAAAGTCTGAAACAATTTGGGCCGGCCCAGTGGCGCACTGGATAGTGCGCCGCTTGGGAAGCACGGCGGCGCTCCCGCCCGAGGGTTCGGATCCCACATACAGACCGGTTCCCGCTC